AAAATATTCATTTAGGTGAACTTGGCCTCTGTGTGTGTGTATGTGTACGTTGTTGTATGTGCCCTGCGAGGACCTGGCATCCCATCCAGGGTGTCCCCTGCCTTGTGCCTCATGCTTCCTGGAATAGACCGCAGGCTCACCTTCACCCTGTACTGGAAAAGGGATTATTTTAGATGGATGCGCCATGCTGATTATTTTATTAAAGTGTAAGTCTTATTCTCCTCATTTTCTTTGGCAATCGCTCTGTCAGCCGACACACTTCATTGAGGCTTTAGCGGATTGGTGAATATGGTAAAATGCAGGAGAGGTGTATGTGCTGAGTAATGAATCAGGCTGGGGTGCAGCTGAGGAGTGATCCATCGTCATTTGGTGACAGAGACAGAAAACAAGCCCAGTCACCAAACCGGGACAGAAATATAGTAGAATCAGAATCCAAAAGTTGGAGTCAAGCAAACAGGATATGGCCTTGCAGACGCATAGGGCATGTAGATGTTTGTGGCAGTAAACTAGGGAGAAGTGTCATCGATATTCGGTGAAGGATGATCGGCAACAGGGCATCTGGTCGCTTGGAAGATCCAGGCTGGATGGTGGATCCCGGAATCAGGGACCTGACACCCAGGTCCCATAAGACTGAAGACTAATTTATCTGTTTGATTGAAGGGCTGAGAGAACCAAGGGAGAAGCCAAGATCACAGGTGAAAGGAATTGCCAGCTTAGCCAGACCTTTCAAAATCAGTCTGTTTCTCAGCCCAGTGCTCAAGGACCACCAGCAGTCCACATTTTTGCTCCCAACACAGTTTGTACTAGCTATTCAGAGCTTTTAATTGGCTGGGAGCTGGGCGGGAGCAAAAATATGAACAGCCTGGGTCCTGCAGGACTGCCTTGGGAAGCACTGATTGGGAAACACACACACGCACACACACACGCACGCACATGCACAAGCACATGTGTATACATTAGTCACTGGGACATGACGGATCAGTGGGAGGTAGTGAATCGTTTTTCTAGTTGGGTTTTAGATTGGAATCCCATCCCTCCTGTGTATGTAGATTGTTTCTTGTTTGCACAGGTTTCTGCTGAGTATGGATGGATTGATTGATTTATAGTCATTGGCAGCTGTACTATATTTGGTTATCGAAGATTTCCGTATGTAATATTAGTACAGTGTCAAATTTTCTATATTTTACCAAAAAGTCCACCTTGATTTTCCTTTTCCTTAAAAATCTGGCACTTCCTCTTAAATGTTAATATATTCTTTAAAAAAAAAAGGACAGGACACATAATAGATTAGCCTGTGAATATCCTTCTTCATCTACAATTCAGCACACAGAGCTGAGCCTTCAAATTAATAATGGTCCATTTTTATAGATGTCGGGATTATTACAGTGATAACAGGGCGGCTCGTGATACATCCAGGAACGGGGTGATAAACTAACTCTATCATGTGAGATTGGCTCTATTTTTAATGCATCAGCTAACAGAGGACAGGCTACGTTCTGTTCATTACGTTACCTTGAATTAGCTCATTACTCTGCATTGGCGTGTCACTCTGCATTAGTGCGTTACCCTGTATTGGCGCATTACCCTGCATTAGTGCATTACCCTGCATTGGTGTGTTACCCTGCATTAGTGAGTTACCCTGCATTAGTGTGTTACCCTGCATTAGTGCATTACCCTGCATTGGCACGTTACCTTGAATTAGCTCATTACTCTGCATTGGCGTGTCACTCTGCATTGGCACGTCACCCTGCATTGGCGTGTTACCCTGCATTGGCACGTTACCTTGAATTAGCTCATTACTCTGCATTGGCGTGTCACTCTGCATTAGTGTGTTACCCTGTATTGGCGCATTACCCTGCATTAGTGCATTACCCTGCATTGGTGTGTTACCCTGCATTGGCACGTCACCCTGCATTAGCGTGTTACCCTGCATTACTGCGTTACCCTGTATTGGCGCATTACCCTGCATTAGTGTGTTACCCTGCATTGGTGTGTTACCCTGCATTGGTGTGTTACCCTGCATTGGTGCATTACCTTGCATTGGTTGCCTTTCTGTTTACCTAGATCCCTGTATCAATGTCCTTTGTGAACAGTCATCCAGGATGTTTTCAACCGATTTCATTTGCTCTCCCATGCTGACTTATAGTCAGGGGGCTCACTTCTACCGTCCCGACTTTCATGTCGATTGCGAGGAAGCTAATTGTTAAACGTCATGATTTCAACAGGAATGGATCATTATGGGAGAAATGACATGGTGAATTATTTTATGTTAAAGTCACAGGTGGGGGGTAACATTATAAGCTGTTTTATGCTCTTTGAGGAGGGTTCACTCTGAAGTAAACCTTGCGTCATTAATCTCCACCCCAGTTTGAGTCAGGGGCTCCCAAAATCCCAGAGCAAGCATCCATCTTTGACACCAAAATGAATTTTGGCTGCGCATGTTATTGGAACGGTGGAGGCCCATGTAGGAAATAATGTTGAATTTTCACGCCTTTGTGTTTTTTGTGTGTGCGTGTGGCTTTAATGTGTTGCTCTGCTTCCAATGCACACTTTCATCAATCACACTAGAATAACATGTCGAGGCGTCCAAACGCCATGCACCAGCGATAG